AGAGTGGGGTGGGGTGTTTATGTATTTTTATTATTAATTGCAAAATGTTTTATTTTATTTAATTAAAATTTTTCTGTTATTTTCTTTTCTTATTTTTATTACTGTTGGATGTTGTTTTGTTTTTATTGTCTGGAGGGACTGCAGATGTAAATTAGCCTTAGGCTAAATCTGGTGCAATGCATCAAATGTTTTAATGTTCATGTTTTAATTGCACACTGTCCTGATTAAATAAATAAATTTTAAAAAATGTTTAGACGAAAACCTGAAAATGAAATGTATTTTTTATGAAATAGTCTGTACCTGTGCATTTTTAAACTAAGTAACCACCAAAGGACTAATAACCTGACAATGATATATTTTGTTTGCAGGTGTTTTCTGTGCACATGGATGGTTCCAACGTGCAGGTGGTTTTAAATGTATCAGTTGACTATCCTGAGAATTTGGCGGTGGACTGGGTGAACAATAAACTGTATGTGGTGGAGGCCAGCGTCAACAGGATTGACATGGTGGACTTTGATGGAAGTAACCGAGTTACACTCATCGCTGAAAACCTAGGAAACCCTAGAGGACTGGCGGTGGACCCCACTGTTGGGTGAGCAAATTTCCCTTTCTGCTTCCTTTTTCATCTAGCCACCCATTCCTAATTCCCACGTTCAGTGTCTGTTGTGCTCCATTGGCATGGAATGATGGGGGTAGGATGTTTGAGATTAACAGATGGCCCTGGGTAGATTAGCGAGGAGCAATGTAAGTGATGACCCTCATTGTAATCCAATAGTATAGTTCAAGGGAGAGGGACAGCCAGGTGGCTGCAGAGAAACTGCTTATCTTAAATTAATATACAGCTCCTTGGTGGGACACACTGCCACCCACTTAGAAAGATGTCCTTCTTTGGATTCTATACCTAAAACAGCAAACACCTGTAATAGTTTTTCTTAGGGTTCTTAAGGGCTTTTAAAGTCAAGTAAACAGCAACCCTCTCCAGTGCCAAAACTCTTCCTTCAAACTTTAAGCCTGTATCTCACTGAGCTGCGACTGTTGGTGAACACAAAGTATAAGCACAAATTCACTGTGACTCAGAATGAAAATCTGCATATTTTCTCACAACGTTGTGACTCTGTCACCAACATTTGCAGCCCAGAAAGATGCGTTTTATACTTCAGAAAGAAAAGCAATAACTTCACTCAGCAAGGATGAAAAATCACTATTTTATCAGCCGAWAAGGTAAAATTCATTGTGATTAACAAAGCATGAGAAGAAAACAGTACAAACTGACATTGTTATCTGAAAAGGAAAACATTTTATAAAGATGATCAGAGAGTTCTTGCAAAATTGAAAAATAATTTTCAGTTTTTAAAGCATCTTTATTTTTATGACTTGATGTGGACTAGGCCAGAGTTGCAAAGTAACTAAGTACAAATATTTTGTTACTATACTTAAGCAGAAATCTTGGTTATCTGTACTTTACTTGAGTAAATATTTTTCAGCGTACTTTTTACTTTTACTCATTACATTTTTACACAATTATCTGTACTTTCAACTCACTACATTTTAAAAAAAGTTAAAAAGTAGGAAGTTGTTACTCTTATTTTATTCCGAGTTGTTATTACTTAAAAAAATACTATCCTGATTGTGTCTCCTGGATAGAGTGAATTTAATTGTGGTTGGATGAGAAGTATAAATACCATTCTGACATCCTGTTAGCTTGTACACAACCCATCACAGCTGCACGCCGTTAGAAAAAATATTTTTTGGAGAAGTCACCTCCCAATAAAAGTCATTTTAGAAAATCTAACTGCTCACTTTTACTCAGTACTTTTACTTTTAATGCTTATGTACATTTTGAGTCAAAAATTTACTTTTGATACTAAAGTACAAAAAATATCAGATACTTTTAAGAC